GAGTAGCAACTGGTCACGCCGCTGGCCCGCCCCGCCCCTCCAGCGGTCCCCGCCCCGGCAACCTCGCCGGTGAGCGCGCCGGCCGCGTCTCCGACCGCGGCGGTCCGGTGTACCGCGGCCGGCAGCGGGCGGGCGGGCCGGCTCTGGCCTGTCCGCGCAGGGCTGAGCCGACGACCTCGCTCCCACCGGGTTAGCGGCTCCAGAGGCACCCAAACTGGGGTGCGGATCAGATGTGACCGCCGAGTTGGGAGCCACCGGCGAGACCACCGCGGTGCCGGCCGGTGCACGTGTCCTGAGAAGCGCCCGGGGGCGCGCCGGCCGTCGGGTCAGGGCGTCCCGCAGCAGTCGGTCACGGACGGCCCGGGCAGATCGGTCAAGGCCAAGCTGAGCTGGACGGATCACGGCGCCACGGGAACACTGAACAGGCTCCGGTAACAGTCACGACCAGAAGTTGGACGGTGGCCAGCAGAACAAGCAGGCGAAGCAGGTCTCGATGCATGGCGATGCGGTGTGTGATGCGACTGATAAATCGCCGGCGGCACAGGTCACAACTATCACGGCACTCGCCCCTGCTTCACACCCGGTAATCACAACTGCTCAAACTCGGTAAGTCCTGTTTTCAGGTGAAGATCGTCCGACACACGCAAATCACACACACACAATCATTCGCGCACACACAAGGCCAGCGGGGTGAGCCGAGGTGAGCTCCACGGTCGCGTCAGCCGAAAAGGCGCCGCGCCCGGCGAAGCTCCACCCTGGACGGCGGTGGAGGACAGACTCTAGGGGGAGTTCTAGGGGGAGTAGTAGAGGGGAGTAGTGATGGGTCGAGAGAGTTATGAAGAGTAATGGAGGAGTGATGAAGAGTTCCAGTGAGAGTTATGAGGGAGAGTAAAGGGGAGTAGCTGCCTGGAGTTTTAGGGAGTCGTTTTTGGTAACTCTCGATAACTCTCCTAAAGGGAGTCAAAATTTCTCTCAGTGTAAATCAGAGCTCTGATGGCTCCATGTCGCCCTCCAGGGCCTCAGTCCGACCTCTAAGGCCCAATCATGCATAAGTGCCGAATTCTGCCTGTCGAGGCCTTCAATGTGGCCTCTGATGGCCCAGCACCAGTCTATGAAGACCCCGCGCTGGCTTCTGAGGACTCAGCAGTCAGCACCAATCTCAGTTTTCAGAAGACAGAGGGCCCCACGCTGGCCTCAGAGTGTCCAACGCTGTCCACAGAGGGCTCCCACACCGACCAAAGAAGGCACCAGGCCCATGGCCTAAGAGGGCCCAAATTGTCATCATAGGGCCCTATATGGCCTCAGAAGGCCCTACGGCCTACCCCGTTGGTCTTACAAGGCCTACGTGCGGGCTTTTTAACGCCAAACGCCCCCCTCACATTTGGCCTTTTAGGGTCCCCAAAGCGGCCTCTGAGTGCCCCATGCTAGCCTCCGAGGGCTCGTCCTGGGCCTTCGAGCGCTTTACGCTGGCCTCTTAAGTCTTAACCCCTTGGTAGAAGTAGGTGTACGAATACTTATGTTTGGGCAGAAATTTTGTATCCTAGCCTGTGCATGTTACATGCGGTGTATACGGTATATGTATGTTACGTGGTGTCATTCTGGCTTCTGAGGTCTGGTTTGCCCCTTAGTCGAAATTCATTAGCCAAGACCTTGAGATACAGTGCCGCCCTCTGAAATGAAAGTAGCTCCCTCTGAACTCGTAGCGACGTCCCTGAAGCCAGTTTACCCCCTTCTTAAAGGTAGTGTGCCAGCTTTCCTGGACCGTATGGAGTTAATGGCCCAGATAAGGAGAACCGGTTTTTTAGAACTTATCCATACCTTCAAAACTCATGGAAACGTCTTAAATTCTTCAAATTTTGAGTACCCCAGTGCGAAATTCGCCCCGACGGGTTGTCGGTCGTACCCCAACCACATTTCACACCACTATGAACCATAAATGCACACACTGAAATCGCTATTAGCGATAGGCTCATCCAATCAAGTTTCGATAAACCCGTTCATCATCATCTCCTGCGGTTTCGAACACGCCTGTTAGGTGGTGCGGTAGACCGCGCCCAAAGCCAGGGCCCCGGTAACGTGAGGTAGCCGAGTCGGGGCAGCGTGCGCTGACCCAAGCCGGGGCCGCGCGTCCTCCCGGTGTCATGTGATAGCCCGGGGCTGCCCGGGGATGCGGTAGACCGCGCCCAAAGCCGCGGCCCCGGCTTGGGTCAGCGCACGCTGCCTCGACTCGGCTACCTCACGTTACCGGGGCCCTGGCTTTGGGCGCGGTCTACCGCAGATGGCTTCTGCTCATACTTTGTGGTGCGGTGGTGGTGCGTCGGGCCGCGCGCTCTGACTTCGGCCAAGAAAAATGCGTCAGCTGATCATTGTCATTTCTGCCACTTTCATGTGGTGAGATGGGGTCATAACTTTAGAGACGGCTGTTTCATATCAACTATTTTACATAAAATAATATTTCAAACCATAAATTAATGTTCGACAGCCAAATTAAAGAAACAATACCAATACAGGCTTACAGTTTAAATTCGACATTGTGTTGTCTACGATTAGACAGCTGATAACTCATTCCCGTACGTCGTAACTTTATAATGACCTTTGCTTATTGTCACATGTGCGCCGCATTCGCGATTGTTGCCGACGCCTGTTTGCAGGTCAGCCCACTACAGTTGGTATACATATCGAAAAACTGATAAACTTTTCGGCGAAAAAAGCACTATTCCAGGCCCATTTTTTATTTTTTTGCGATATTAGGTGAAAACAGAAGCTTCTTATCCTAGGAAAAATAAAATGGGAAATCTTTGAAAGGTGGCACACTACCTTTAACCCTCGCGGGCCGAGGGAGGAGGGGGGGGGGGGCACCCCTTACGATTTTTTTCGTGACTGCTCCGGAGCCGTTTTCGATAGAGAGCTGAAACTTGGCCTACGTGAGCCCCCATCCAAACCAGACCTTATGACACCTGATTCATTTCCAGGTTAGTTCAGGTCAATAGGTGGATAATTGTGCCAAACGGTGGGTGCTCGGGCGCAGCAAATCCGACGCCGCCCTAGCGGTGACCTTGACCTCCACAGTCTGTTGCGGCTCCAAAGCCAAGCCGGCGTGGAATTGGGAGAGCTCGTGCACCCACAGTTCAGTACAATTCTCCAACTATGGTCAGGTCACTGACCGATGCATAAACCTCTAAAGGTTATGAGCAAACCTCTGCACTCTGCAGTCTGCACTGTCAAAAAAATGTTGTAACTTCGCAACGCCGCCAACGCCAGGCAAAGTGTCGGCGAGGATGATGACACTTTCAGAAAGTAACAAGCTCCCGGGTACTCATACTTCGTATATCTTGGGTTGTTCGTACAATTCATCTTGGGTCAGGTCAGTCACCTGACCTCCCCCATTATAAACCTATGGGGGAACTACTGAACTTGCTCTTTTTGGAACATATAGTTGTTATAGAATCCGCCCGAAGACGCAAATAAATGTGCTTTCATACGCTCGTCAAAGGATTCCGTGCCTTATTTTGGCATTTTGTACTTGTATGACGCCACAGAGGACGTCACAGAGGACGTTCTTTTGGGCGTTTTTCGTTAACAACTTTCGACCAAATTAAGCTAGAGTCGGGAAAGGCACCATTGTGATTGCAATGAGCTTCCAAATCGATTGATATGCAACCTGACCTAGTCCGAACAGTGTCCTGAGGGGGCTTGACCTGACGACCTTTGTGTCAATCTTGATTGTGACCTTTACCGAACAAAAAGTACCCACAACATTCGACGCAGCTTGAGAGGAATACGATTATGCCTAAATTTTTGCTCTATGGCCATTTGTTTGCAAAATTATTTGCCAAAAATAAAAACCAGACTTGAGTGTAATTTACCTGACCAGAGGTCACCAGTTGACCTAAGACCCTAAATTTGAATATCAATCGCTGCGTCTCGTGACGGCCGTCAAGCTCGTTTTTTTTTCCACTGGACTGGAACAGACCCTATAAAATGCCGCCCCCTTAGGCGGAAAATGTGCCGCCCCTGTGCTTGACTGCCCCCACCCTATCGAAATCCTAGATCCGCCCCTGTCTGTAAAAGGGCTATCGAATGCGATTTTCCGCGGCGCTGTAGCTCTATCGGTTCCCGAGATAGCCGTTGGCAGTTTCCAAAATGTTGAAATAGTCAACATTTTACCTTTGGTGACCTCTGGTGACCTGACCTTTAACCTGACCCAAAAAATGACTTTTTAAAAAAATGACTTTTTTTTTAAAATGACTTTTTAAAAATGACTTCACAAAGTGTTTTCGTCTTTATTTTGGACGTTCTTTCGATTGCCGCTTACCGCGTGTCGCTACGTGGCCCAGGAGCTGAGTTAGAAGGGGGCCCCCCCTTCTAAATAAAAACCAGACTTGAGTGTAATTTACCTGACCAGAGGTCACCAGTTGACCTAAGACCCTAAATTTGAATATCAATCGCTGCGTCTCGTGACGGCCGTCATAACGGGTGTTCAGACACTCCCCCCGGCCCGGCGCGGAATCTCAGAGCACCGGCCCGGCGCGGGGTAGCTAAGAAGTTCAAATTTTGACCCAAGGTGTCAAATTGATGCAGCCGAAGGTACTGAAAGTTAAATATCTTATGACGAGAGCGATTGACATTTTTGGTATGCAGTGTTATTCATTGAAAACAGGTCGAAGCTTTAGAGTCTTTAATTTAGTGGTCGCCGCTTACTTATCATGCGGCATACACGCCGCACGTAGCCGCCAATGCCGCAACGCAGCTTAGATTTCGAAGTAAGCATTTAGTTTCACCGGTTTCACCCCAAAGCAAAGCTGCTATTTCAGGTTTTTTGATTAGGCATTGAAAATACATTTTTGTTTTTATCCTCTACGGGATAAGGAGCTAAGAAATGTAGGCTAATTTTGGCCACACTTCTGAGTTTTAAGAACTCCTGAAAGGCAGACGTATAAACGAGAGGTTGAGACGATCGAGACGCGGATCGTTTACGGAGTGGCGCGTGCGTGTCGTGCAGTGTGTCGTTGGTCGTGTCCGTCGTTTCTTGTAGGTGTATCTTATAGTCACCGTGGGTGTATCTTGGTGTCTTCTACACATATAGACGAGTGCGGCCTCGCTTCAAGAAGCAGCACATTCAAGGCCATATATAGGGCACATTGGCAGAGGCCGTATATACTGGTAATCTGTATCTGTAAGTATCTGTATATCATTGGTTGTGTCCGTTAGAATCTTGGGCTGCACATAGCATGTTGATAAAAGCTAAGAGTTTTAGGGTATAAATGCAGCAAAGGCTTCTTGCCTCAACAAGTAACCTTTCTTTTTTTCCTTATATGTAGTGGATGTTCCGTAAAATGTCAACATATGTATTTTAAGATGATTTTAGAGAATGATTAATGAAAAGTCATTGCTGGATTTACACCTTTTCACTCCCAATTGAGGCAGCAGTGCACTCATTTCAGTAATAGTGCAGGCAATTTTGACAGTAACTCTTAGTAACTCTTATAGTTATGTCACTCGTCGATGTCTAATATACCTAAACGTGCATTCATAGTGCATTCATATATTGAATTGCGGCACCATTTTCGTCCTAGGGCAGCCTATCTCATCGTAGTGCCCATAAAAGTGGCCCACGTTCAGGTACATTAGACATAAACGGGCGCACATCATTTGTCAGATTATTTCAATTTTGGTGTGCAGCATGTAGTTTAAGCACTCTTCAGGTATTCTGGCATGGCATTAATTAGCAATAACAGTATTTTTTTTCAAACATCCCAGTTCCCTGCTACCTGAGATTCTAATGACATGAAAGCAGGCAGTCAGCAACTCAAAACTGTCATGTAGCCAGATGCACTACTCTGGATGCAAAAGGTAGATGGTATTTGATGGTTCATTGGTAAAAGTATACATTGAGTCCGAGTGACTGTAAAAAGATAAAGTTTTCATATTCTTACATTATTTGACATCCTGAATCCAAAAGGATACTTATATGTCCTGGAAATAAAAGAAAAAACATAATCAAACCTGACCTAACCTTACCTACCTTTACCTACAACCTACGAACCTACAACCTACAAACCTACAACCTACAAACCTACAACCTAACCTAAACTAACCTACAAACCTACCAACGTAAAACCTAAAGCCTACAAACCTACAACCTAACCTAACCTAAGACCTAAATTTTTGGCTGTTACATATTTGTATCAACAGCGTCACAATTGTCCACTCGGACCTAATATATACTAATACCGGTTCATCTTGATGCCTTTTAACCCTATTCCTGGCGGGGGGCCTTTAAGGCCCCCCTTCAGGTTTTTCTTGTGCCATTGCCAAACGCCGCAAGACTGAAAGCTCATACTCGGTGACTTTTTCTAAACATTCATTGCGCACATTTTGACAAAAAAAGTTGCCGGGTCAGGTCAGGTCAGGTCATCAGAGGCGGTTTGGTGACCCCACCTCAGAAAAGTTTGCAATCACGCCAGAGCTAGAGTTTTTGACCGATCAGACTCATGACCTTTAGGGGAGAGAGGTCATATTGCGCCATGTTCTTAAATGCGCCACACCTTCCTCCTGTCCAAAATTCGATTCAAATGAATGCTCGAATGTGTGCATTTACTTCACCACCAATAACTCGCTGTTATTCCGGTCCACGCCCGGCGTCCACGGGGGCAGGTGCGGTGTCTCAGCTTTCTTGCAGACCATTTTTTGTGATTTCCTCTATTTTCTTACGCGAAACAGTCTATTTCGACCTTTGCTAGTGTCATGGTTTATCGATAGTGATTCAACTAATAATCATTGTTAATTGCTCGTTTAATGGTAGTTTTGAAAGTTTATCACCACCGTGATCAAAAAAGTTAATGAATTGGCATGAAAGTGATGTCGCTCGGTTCAGAAAGAGCGAAAACGAATATATACCAAATTTGATTGAAAAATAATCACCGGTTTTCAAGATATTAGACTTTTACTTTTGTTTACTTTTTTGGAATCTCCGCTGTTCCTAGCGACTTAACTTGAAATTGCGGCATTTGTTACGCGCAAAGCAGCATATCCCACCGCGTGCTACCAAACGTTTTAATAAAAGATATAAAAATTGTTAGATCTCCGCTGACGTCACAAATTCTAAGGGGGCATACCATTGCACTAGCCCCTTAGAATCCGAAAACTGCAAGTTTGAAATTCCATATCTCCGAATCAAAGCATTTATCGATGCTCTGAGTGCCCAAACCGGTATATTCAGACCATGGCCACCAATTTGGCTATCTCAACTCAAAACTAATGTTAAGGTGGGATGGTCACTTTAATAGATCATTGACATTATGTAAGCAGTTCCAGTGGCGGCGCCACGAATTTTCGCCAGTGGGGGCAAGCCAGATCTGACCCGACTGTTGTCTGACAACCCGGCGGGGGGTGGGGGCATGACCCTCACTTTTCAGCCATTTTTTAAAGGAAAATCTTTATTTTTTATTTAAATACAAAACTAAGAGCAGGAAATGGTTCAGCAAGGTGAGATACGAGGGGCGTTCAAAAAGTTCTCGGCCCAACCATGAAGGAGTTGGAATTTCGGCCTGCAACGCGGTGTGTTCAATGATGTGTTATTGGGATGTCCACTTACGTAGCCATTAACCAATCTGCCCTGTGATTGGTTCAGGCTGCTAATTAATCGTAACATAGTTTGCCATTCCCGGTCAGAATGGGCGACGCCCAGAAGGGAGCAGTGATTTGGTTCATGTATTGCAGAAAAATGCACCAAACGTTATTCACAAAAAGCTAGTGCCAACCCATGTTGAGGTTTGTCTTTCTTACAGTAGCGTCAAAAAGCGGACATCTCTGTTCAATTTTGGTCAACAGATCATTAAAGGTCACCCCCGCAGTGGCCAGCCATCAACAGCATTGACTCAAGAAAATATGAAAAATTAGCACTTCTTTGTGAAAATGACAAATGTTCTGGTCTGGAACAACGCAGCAGAAGCGGAGGTGTCTATCAGGTTCCTCAAAGCCATTCTTCGACAGCGTATTAATATGTTTAAGATCTCTGCAAGATGCATCCCCCCTTTGCTGACTCCAAAGGAAAGGCAAGCTCGAAAGGAGGCGTAACGCGAAAATTTTGGCCCCTATATCGAAGATCCAAAAGAGATCATTGAACGACATGTTACCGTGGAGGGATTGTGGGTGTCACACGTTGATCCTAAGGGCGTGACCGAGTTGCACAAGTGGAAGCACACTGAGTAAAGGCCACCAAATGTGTGCGACGTGTTTAAGTCAGACGGCAAGGTGACAGTGGTTGCATTTTGGGATGCTGGTGGGGCTCTGCTCGTCAACTTTCTAAAACAGGGGCGCACAATTAATGATGAATACTACACCTCCCTTCGATAACAGTAGCGAGCAGCAGATATCAAGGAGAGACTAGGGAAGCTGACTAAAAGTGTGCTTCTGATCCAGGACGACGCACCAGCACACATGAGCAGGGTGACGATCAGCGAAGCAGTGAGCTGCGGCTTCGAGTTGTTGTCACAGCCACTTTTTTCTCCGTGCCTTGCACCATCAGGTTGCCACCTCTTCCCCAACATAAGGAAATTGCTTAGCAGTGGCGACTTCGCTGACAGCAAGGAGACAAAAGCAGCCGTCTTGGACGTGCCAGATGCGTCCGAAACCCACTTGGCTATGGAGACCCAGGGGCCTCTCGCGAAGCGCTGCGCGAAATGTTTTTGTCTTAACGCTGGTTATTTGAATAAATAAACATTTTTGGTCTAATAAGTCGACGTCGTATCTCTGCTCCTTCATGGTCGGGCCGAGAACTTTTTGAACGCCCCTCGTAAGTAGGGGAGGATGGGGCAATTTGGCCGGCATTATAATTTGGTCGCCCCCACCTTAACGATATCTTACAAAAGTGAATGAAAAAATCTAGCCTCTATTCATTTATCATTGGTGGAACTTACATAGCCTTGGGTGGAACTAATCCGTGGAAAATTTTGAAAAAGCTCTCATTCGTAGTTTTCTTCAAAATTAATAAAACATGAATTTGATTAGATTTTAAATGGTAACTTTTATTTCCGTTTGAAAAATTGTTTAACATGTAGAATTCGGGCTAAAGACAAATTTCGACATTGTGGTCCCATTGCATAGGGTGTTAAAGGTAGTGTGCCACCTTTCAAAGATTTCCCATTTTATTTTCCTAGGATAAGAAGCTTCTGTTTTTACCTGATATCGCAAAAAAATGGGCCTGGAATAGTGCTTTTTTTCGCCTAAAAGTTGATCGGTTTTTCGATATGTATAACAACTGTAGTGGGCTGACCTGCAAACAGGCGTCGGCAACAATCGCGAATGCGGCACACATGTGACAATAAGCAAAGGTCATTATAGAGTTACGACGTACGGGAATGAGTTATCAGCTGGGGCATTCCACGATAGATCGTACCAGGCCCGTCACCCTCATCTCTCAGATTTTAATGAAAATCGGTCCTAGGGGTAATCATAGGCCCCAAAGACGCCTAGCAAAATATCAGACTTCTCAGATCAAAACTTTTTGAGTTATATTGCATTACATTTTTTTAACTTCGGTTTGTAACGGTGAGTTTGATGGCCTTTAACTCAAGAACGGGTTAAGCAACCAACAAACAGTAAACAACACTAAGCTTGCGATGAATCAAAAATTAATATCACCATTTAAAAATTTCAAAGAAAAATTTTCATTGTTGATCAAAAACCTTAATCTTTTTTCATTTGCCTCTAATGACTTTTGGGACCAAAATTTTTCACAGTTTAATTTTTTTCAAAATAAACTTAATGTCATTGCAAATCGACATGCAAAAAATTAGAAAGGTGTTCTTTCTATAAGTTCCTCATTTTCCCGCAAACAAAATGGGTTTCGGAGGGGTTGATACGACCCCGGCACGCCGTTTCGCATCTAATAGAGCTAGAGCCTCGCGGAAAAAACGAGCGTGTGTGCCATTACAAGTCGCAGCGATTGGTACCCGATTTTAAGGTCTCGGGTTAACCGGTAGGGTCTGAGGTCAGGTCAAGTGACTGAAGTTACGGGTTTGGTTTTTAGTAAATAACTTCGCAAAAAATGGCCGCAGAGCCGCGATTTTGGCATCATTGTGTTCGCCTAGCTCAGGTGCATCGAATGATATACTTTTTGCTAGGGTGAGGTCAACTTAAGTAGTTGACCTTGGGTCAAGGTCAGGTCAGAGCCCCTCAGGTCACGAAGCTGGGCAAAGGGTATCATATGGCATATCATTCGATTCGGAAGGTCTTCCCGAGTCCATTGGTGGCTTTCCCGACTCTCTAGCTCCATTTGATGAGAGTTATTGATGAAAAACTCGTACGACACTAGTGACGTCATAAATGACGTCACGCAAGGTTAACAATCCAAAAGAGAAGCATTGGACTTTGCAAGGAGTGCATGAAATCACGATACCATGTACGTGGGATAGTTTTAGATCATTCTCGGCGCCAAAATAACAGTTTTTTATATTTCCCCATTGACTTATAACAGTGATGTCACGTGACCAACCTGACCTCATGTAACCTTAAAAAATTCCCAGATATACAAGTTGTGAGACCTCTGGAGGACACCATGTATGCGTCCTCTAACTTTCATCTCGGACAGCTATGGTCATTGGCGTACAAAACAATGTCAGAACCAAACAGCCTTTTTTCACCCTCGCGCTTATAGGAAAGAGGGTTGGATGAACCCTCTTTTCACTTTTTTCAGATGACTCAGACTTCAATTGAAATTTCAGCAACCCGTGATGTCACTACGCAGCTTTACCACGCCATTTGTAAGCTCCCCTCCCGAAATCACTATTCGAAACCGTTATCGTGACGTAAAATAAATACATTTAAAAAAAGAACACCTTCCCAATTTTTTGCATACTTCTTAACAATGAGCCAAATATTTTTTTGAAGAAATAAAAATTTCAGAAAATTTGGTCCCAAAGTCCAAAAAATACAAATGAGAGAAAACTCGATATGTCATATATCAAAAATAGCGTATTTTTCGAAATTTCAAAAATACATATTAATCTCTGTTTCATTGCAAGTTCAATGTTATATAACATTTGGCATTTGAATAATCCGTCTTAGAGTTACAGCCCGCCAAACTTAGCGCTGCAAAGCAAGATCCAAAAAATGTTAAACATCATAACTAAAAAATACTTATCTGATAAGCCTGACATTGTAACAGGTGGATTCAGAGCCCCTGATTACCCCTGAGACCAATTCTCATCAAATTCCGAGAGATGAGTGTGTCAAATTGGAAAAAAGTGGTACGATCTATCGTGGAATGCCCCAGCTGTCTAATCGTAGACAACACAATGTCGAACTTAAACTGTAAGCCTGTATTGGTATTGTTTCTTTAATTTGGCTGTCGAACATTAATTTATGGTTTGAAATATGATTTTATGTAAAATAATTTATATGAAACAGCCGTCTCTTAAATTATGACCCCATTTCACCACACGAAAGTGGCAGAAATGACAATGATCAGCTGACGCATTTTTCTTGGCCGAAGTCAGAGCGCGCGGCCCGACGCACCACCACCGCACTACAAAGTATGAGCAGCGTATTTGGAAATTCCAACCTCGACGAGCATCAGAAGCCACCTAACAGGCGTGTTCGAAACCGCAGGAGATGATGATGAACGGGTTTGTCGAAATTTGATTGGATGAGGCTATCGGTAATAGCGATTTTAGTGTGTGCATTTATTGTTCATAGTGGTGTGAAATGTGGTTGGGGTACGACCGACAACCCGTCGGGGCGAAGTTCGCACTGGGGTACTCAAAATTTGAAGAATTTAAGACGTTTCCATGAGTTTTGAAGATATGGATGAGTTCTAAAAATCCGGTTCTCCTTATCCGGGTCATTAACTCCATATGGTCCAGGAAAGCTGGCACACTACCTTTAAGCGTTTTCAAGAGTAATTTCATGTATTTCCGTATAACCGTAACGACTTTATGGACAAAACTTTTCAGAATGGCAATGCGGGGTAATTTGGCCGGTGCTAGTGAAGCAGCTTTGACGGTGCTCTCAGGATCGCTGTGCTGGGACGGCCGACTTGATACGGTCGTCGTACCGAGCTGGTTGGGTTTATATCCGTTGGTGGTGGCATTGCGGCGCAGTCTGCCTCCTAGGGGCTCATCAAGACACTGCGCAATTCAACACGACGAAGATGCTACGGATCTGCTCGAACCAAACTGATAGTCACATCTCCAGCTCGCAAACACTATCGACAACTTGTTTGCAAACATCGGAAGGTTACGAGATGTGAGTATTTGAGACTGAGTTGAGTTATTTCATTGATTGCTAAGAATTTTTAACCGAAATTCGTCGATTATTTCCTTACTAGAAAAAAATTAACGTTTTTTTTCCAAACAATGTCCTGTCATTATTCACTAATCATAAACATTGTGAAAGTATCTTTATCACAAATAAAATGCAAATGTTTGATTGAGAATTGTATGCAAAGAAAGCGCATTTTCAGTTGTGCAGTAAAATGCTGAAATCCGAATCAAACCATTCGAATATAGGGGAAGCCGAATATAGGGAATATCCGTGCTGCTTGAACACTTTCCCTAAATGCTCCTTTTCTTTCGCTTCCGCTTCTTTGGTGCTTGATATTTTCTCTGCTCTCCTGGCGAGGTTTCTGATGACTCCAACCTTCACCGCTGACCCAAATCATGTGATTAAAAAGGGATTAGCGCAGAAGAAAGCAAATAGGACAGACGCACATGAAGAAACGAGCCGAACAACGTACATTTCTTTACCTTACGTGCAAGGACTGAGCGAACCGACCTTCGACGATTTTTACGATGCGACGATGATACGAATCTGACGATGTATGATCGAATCTTATTACGACTGTCATAACGATGTGTGATGGTTTGAACTGTATGGCTGTTTTAGCTTATGCAGTGTAAAAAAAAGAAGTCACAGATCATTACGAGCGAGCGAGCGCAGCGAGCGAAGCGAGTCTTTTCAATATAACGGAAAAATATCAGTATGAGCGGCCCGGCCCGGCCCGGCCTGTAACGCTTTTGAGAGGCTTATATCTCAGCAACCGCTGGACCGATTGGCCTGCGGTCTTTTTCGCTGGTCAGCCATATCCCTTCTACCCCGTAATTGACTACTTTTGATACACCTCAGTGACCGTCGTGACACGTGCAACGTGAAAAGTCAAGGGTGTTCAAGCTGTTTTGCAAAAGTAGTGATTTTGAGAGGCTCATATCTCAGCACCCGCTTGGGCGATTGACTTGCGGTAATTTTTGTAGGGTAGCAGCATCCCTTCTACCAAAATAGGATACTGCCGATGCATGTGGGTCACCCCCAGTGCACGTGCAAAATACAACAATGAGAGGTGTCTAATTTGTTCCCATTTTAATAACTCGGTAATTACTGGGGCGATTTCGCTGAAACTTGGCATACGGGTAGGCACCCACCAGGCAATGTATTCCTATGTGTTACGGTTAAGGTGCTATGCACGTGCGCACGTGCAGGGGGCGCTTCCTTATCTCGAGAACGGCTGGGCCGATTGCGCTCAAATTTGGTACACGGTTGGGGACCAGTTAGTAGGGTGCCGTGCAAAAGTCAGTTTGGACCCCGTTTGCACGTGCGCACGTGCAGAATGCCGCTTCCAGATCTCAGGAACGGCTGGGCCGTTTGCGTTCAAATTTGGTACACCGCTAGCGACCGGTTAGAAGGGTGCTTTGCGCAAGCCCGTTGGAAGTACCCTCTCGCCTTTCCGCACGTGCAGGGCTCACTATCTCGCTCGCTCGTTCTTCGCCCAAAAGGCGTTTTACTGGTTGATAGCACGAACCTGTTTTGCATGTCATCACATTTGTATCGTCTTTTTGTATTTTATATTTCAAACCAGTGAACAAGGCTACTCAATAAAGCCGAAATATTTGGTTTTTAATATTTTTTTTTACCTCAGTGTAGCCCGAAACGAATACGAATTACTGTTATTTACGTGAGGAAGATTAGAAATGACACTTCGTCAGTGCCCGTGTCTGATAAGCATGCTTTCTACTTCAAAACCTGTCATTAGAGCTCAGTGAACGGTGAACTTGTCAAGTGTGCTTTATAATTCGGGTGCGCAGTTTTATGACAAATGAAAGCCGTAGATAAATTCCACCAAGGCCCTAAATACAAGGTTGCACGGACCAGGGGCGGATCCAGAAAATCTCCAAGGGAGGGGCCATTAGAAACCAGGAGGCCCCCCCCATAATCCCACCTGTTGGAGGCCCCATCTTCCCACTTGTTGGGCCCCCCCAAAAAAAACTGCGTCTATTGAGCCTATCTAGCTGTTCAGGCAACATCTCAACATCTGTGCAGGCTTGGAGGCCCTCTGTGCAGGTTAGGAGGCCCTGTAAAAGTGGTCATCTCTGTGAGTATAAGAGACCTCCAAGTTATGAAAAGCTTTACCAATCTTCTAACAAAGAAGTCTTCTCAGCTAGTCTTCTAAGAAATAACTAAGTGAGTAAGTTAAAAAAAAACTCATCGGATTTCGGCCACTTTATTTTCAGGAGGCCCCCTTTTCAGCTTTTTAACTTTTTAACTTTTTATTTTATTTTTGAAAAAAATCGGCCAAGGGGGGGGGGGGGCCATGGCCCCCATGGCCCCCCCCTTGTATCCGCGCCTGGCACGGACTTATTTCTATTAAACCTACCAAAATATAGTTTCACGGTCGAATATCTAAATAATCAATCAAAACTTCTTTTTTATTATCTCGTAATCATTTATAAACAATTTTATAAATATGCTTTTAATTTGCTTGTCTTTTACTGGCAAAATAACTTTTTAGTATTGGGTCAACATAGTGGTGTAGCAGTATGAACCATATCTGGCAAAACCCCAATACCTTCATACAGCAGAAAAGCAGCCACCAGGCGTCGCCACAGTCGCCGTACAGCTGTCGCGTGCGTCGCTTATCGCCACACTACCGATTTCCATAAGGATGCATATGCACGGATATGTAAGGGAAAGTCGCCCTTAAGGATTACGCTTACATCCTTTGCTTATAAGGTCGATATTTGGAAATTGGGAGGGGCTCGGCTATTTTCAACCACGGATATGGCTTTATCACATGATGAGGAACATGCTGATAAGCGTTTTATGTGTCACAACAGCACACAAGTATTTTACTTCATTTTTCAAAAAATAGCCGTTCTGCCGTATCTTTAAGTGCAAGGTGCCGTCGGTCATCCCCGACGTTACGTCACGCCGGGGATTGCCAGATTTTCCTACTAGACTTCGACGCCCCCTGAATTCCGCTAAAAATGGTTATGCAGAGGTGTGAAACATTTATATTTTTAACCCGCGCCCCGCTGGGGGGGGGGGCAGAATCTGCCCCCCCTCCCGTTTTTCGTCAATAACTTCTAAACGCGTTACGCCAGCGACGTCAAACTTTCAGTACCTTATCATACATAAATTTGACACGTTCCCTGAAAATTTCAGCGAAATCCGTCGGAAATTTTTGAGAAATTGACGTTTTTGTGACGTCATGTTCGCCATCTTCGCCTCAAAAACGGCAAAATTTCAAACGCCGCTAACATCTTCATTTTTAAAGGAATCAAGACGTAACAAAAAGGTTATACGTGATTCTACTTTGTCTATCAAATGGATATCTCGGTTTTTTGAAAATTTTGGATTTTGACCCAAATTTTTTCAAAAAACTGACTTTTGGGAAAAAATTATAAAATCCAAAATTTTGAGTGTATCGAAAAACCGGAATATATGTCAGAGAAGTAGTCTATGTGCACCTATATACCAATTTTTAGAAGAATCGGTTCAAAAATGTGGGAGTTATTCAAAATTTTATGACGTCACGACACACAAAAATTTTGAAAAATGATTTTTTTTTGGAAGTTCTAGACCTCGTACGGAAACAAAAATAGCACCATTCGGTTCGCCGTGAAAAACTGCATCAGATAGACACCATTTTAGGCCTTAACAACCAACTTCAAAATTTGACCTCACTTGACCTGACCTTGACCTGACCTCGACCTGAAATTCATCCAGAGGTAGTCCATATCACTTATTGAGTGTGCCTATTGAATTCTATGAGTAAAATGACCCATAAAACATGTGTCGCACATGCCCTTTTCTATATTTTGTTTTTGGTGACCTGACCTGACCTTGACCTTGACCTTTGAATGACATTGTATGCAACGAATATTGTCTTGGTAGTCTAAGAACACGTTTTGGGCAATCAGTCTCAGTCCATTCTCCGGCAACTACGGTGCAAGGCCGATACTGTAGAAACTTGCATTTTGTACCCTTGACCTGACCTTGACCTGACCTGTGACCTACTTAAGCAAAAAAATTTGGGCTCTTTAGATCCGCCTTGTTGAGAGCTTTCGATTGCCGTTTTCCGCGTCTTTCTACGACCATCGGTTCGGAAGTTAGACAGGGGGGGGGCAGAATCTGCCCCCCCCCCCCCCCAGCAGGGCGCGTATGGCTGAATAGCCCAGCGGGGCGCGGGTTAAGAATGCTGTTGCTGGTCATGCAAAAACGATGAATGGATCTTAGAGAAAATTGAAGGCTCTTTCCAATGATAGCATTTTCAATTGTCAAACGTATCAAGTTAAGCAGCAAAACCCGTGTAATTATTTAGTGGCACATTATGGACAAATGTCATTTTCTTCAGCGATTTGTTCCGCCTTGTTTTTGATCAATTAGCTATCACAATTTTTTTCATGAAAGACGGTACCTACATTTATTCAAACGGCGTCTGATAGCCCCCGGTTGAATCAAACCGAGACAGAGGGCAGGTCCCGGAGCATGAATGACGTTCTAGGTAAGATCATCTGCGTTTTGCTCGCACTGGCTTTCATACCATTGGAACAAAATCAGTCAAAAATGGACGTAAGGGCATTTTCCATGCGTGTGATAAGGATGGACATGTCCTGTTTCCTGCCGCTGACCCGGACCTGCGTATCGTCAGCATACTGAATGGTGCTGACCCCTTCACCGATACACAGACTGAGGCCGTTAGCGTATAGTCTCTTTTGAAAGTATCGCGACTCTGAGCGAGGGCGCTACAGTCCCAGCCGCGGCACAATGGGACCGGAGTGAAAGTTAGCGCGACATCGGTACTTTTTCGTGTTTCGTGCCCGCTTTTCACATGAAAGGGATGATAGAATCATACAAATGGTAGCCGGTGTACTTTCTAAGCAATTTCTGATAAATTTAGGAAATTAATCATTAGTAATGTCATTAATTAATTGATTAATTCAGTGGCCCTGCGCTGACCTCGACTCGGTTCGGTCACGTGATAAGATGGTAACACCTGTCAGGTGTTACCATCTTACACCACATGGTAACACCTGTCAGGTCAGGTCATGACGGCACCGGAAATTCCGATAAGCAAATGATGTAGCCACCAAAACCATGATGGGAATTTGATGGCTTGCATGACTACAGGGTGTCCCATAAGTTCCCAGAAGTATAAGCATGTAAAATTGATGCGACAATCCAATGAATCTGAGAGATTGACCATTTGGCCGAAAATTACGTGACTAGACCCTAAAAGGTTAAGGGGGTCGGTGTTCCCCCGTCTTACCCTATGAAAACAATTCATGTTTCTTTTGGTGACCTCTCCTGTTTCGTGTGATAAACTGAAGCGTAGTCTAAGTGTATTCACGATGTTGTTCTCTCATTCGCAGAACTACTGCGTCAACTGAAGGGAAGGGTGCTGGCTGCGGGTGCCATGCTGCAGAAAATGTTCAGGAAGGTCCGGCCGTGGTCGGCACTGGCCGCCGCGCGCGCCCTCTGCTCGGCCGCGGCGCCTCCGACGGGCGGCGAGGCAGCGCTGGTGACGCTGCTGCGCACCCGGTTCCCGGCCGCGGCGGCGCTGCACGTGGAGGACATCTCGGGCGGGTGCGGCGCCATGTACGCCGTCCATGTAGAGACGGCCGAGTTCGCCGGCATGAGCCGGCTGCGCCAGCACCGTGCTGTCCAGGAGGCGCTCAGCCAACAGATCAAAGACATGCACGGTATCCGCGTCAGCACGGCTGTCCCACCAGAGCCGGCTGACCGGGCCGAGACGTGACGCATGCAGCGGCCATAAGAGTTAGTGCCAGCAGAGGCGTGTAGGGGTCGTCCTCGGGACCGGAGTTCGCCAATATGGAGTGCTTTGAAAGAAGATTACCTTATAAGCTTGTGTAGTTCTGTTTCATCGCGGATAGATTTACTGATTATAGATAGGCATTGTATATAGCTGTACCTTACCTGGTTGTAACGAAACTCTAATTGCTGTGGCTGGTGCAAACTGTGATGTACTGCTTGATACCTTATGCAAAAAGTACATTAGTAAAGACAAATGTTTATGACTTCTTTTGTGCTGGCAGTGTCTAAATGAGAGCCGTACTTCTAATTGCTCTAGGACCCATTGTTTAAAGTGACCATCCCACCTTAACCCTATTACTGGTTGGGGGGGGGGGGGAAGGGGGCGATTCGGCCCCCACCTGTAGTTTTTCCTCTCGACGGAAAACCACTGAAGCTAGGGGCTCCAAACTTAGTGACTGAGAGTTTCTAGCTAGCGCAGAGGCGTCTGCAGGACGAGTTTCTCGGGGGTAGTTTTGGTCCAGCTTTGACTATTCCGACATTTGCCGCTAAGCAGCGACTTACTAAGGTTGGTACCTACTGGTGATCAGTGGCATCACCCGTCATATGTGTGCACCTATAGACTATGTGACCTCGTTTTAAAATGAAAATATTAGAATAGGCGGATCGTACCTGAGAAAGGGGGTAATATACTGCCCCGTCTTAGCGTGCCTGATTCGGCCTATGCTTAACGAAAACATGTATTTTGTGCCCACGCTGCATATTTTACATGATATATGACACATCATATATCATGCCAACAGAAAAATAGCCGCCTGCCGGATTTTTTTTGGCTAAAGACCACTTCACATACGGAGCATAAACGCGATGCGCACGTAAGCGGATAGGGCTCTATCTACCCTTTACGCTCCGTATGTGAAGCGGTCTTTAAGGAAAAAAATCCGGCAGGCGGCTATTTTTCTGTTGATAAAACTGGCCTCGGGTCACTTTTGCGACCTCTCCAATCTCCATTAGGTATAGGTGGCTAAGTTTATGGGAGGCAACTTAAAGGCATCTCTTTTGGACGAGCGCCATTCTAGACAATCGCCAGCATTAGGATGCATGTAAAATTTACACACTGAAAAAGAAAACTGCACCTGTGACCATTCATTATGTCCCACAGGTCATCCCAGGTCATGAAAGGTCCACAACAGTTTTTTGAAAATAACTTTTTATAGATACATGCTAAAACGATAAAAACACCTCAGTGGTGTTCAGCTCGACGATACAGATCGACTGATATGCAACATGACATTTTCCGGTGAGGTCATGACCTTGACCTGAGGTCAAATTCTCAAAATTACCTTTCAAGGTCATCCTATAGTCCATTCGGCGCGTCTCGACGATAGAAACGCGATGCTGGCAAACGTAATGTCGAGACTCTCTTGAGTCAAAAGCTATTGCAGGAAAATATTGTTCGTAAAACTCCTATTTTTAGGGTGTTTGCCCTCTGGAGGCTAAACCGTTGACCAGAGGTCAATTCTGAGGGCAGTTTACAGAAACACATTTGAGAGGGTTATTGAATGCACTTTACCGCAACACTATAGCTCTATTGGTTTCCGAGCTATGTGCCGGTGTTTCGAAAAATGTTGAAAGAGGCAACATTTTACCTTTGATGACCTTTGGTGACCTGACCTTATTTGACCTAACCTAGAAAACCGCTTACCGCGTGTTGCTACGCGACCTAGGAGCCGAGTTAGACGAGGGGGCGTGACCTCCCCCCCCCCCCCAGCACGACACGGAAAACTCAGACCACCAGCATGGCGCGGGTTAAAAGTCGTAAATGGGCGCCGCTACGTTAGCAAAAAAATATTAGCAAAGAGGTAGCCTCCATTTGCTGGTGCATCCTTCTTCTCCCAGTGATGTGCCTCTTTTTTCTGGAAGCGTCTCACTTATGCTGGTTTCCCTCACTTCTCCTGGGGGCGCCCAACCTCTGCTTGGATCGCCCAATCCCTCATGGGGAGGCCCCACTTCGCTTGAGTCACCTCATTTCTTCTAAGAAATACCAATTTCCTGTAGGCAACCCACTTATCTGGGACGCTCATCTTCTGTAGAAGCGCCCCTCTTCTTCATGATGGGTCACACTTCTACTTGGAGTGCACCTGTTCTGTTAGGGCGCCCCTTTGCTGCTGGGGAGTCCCTTTTTCTACTGTGAATGGGGCGACCCTCTCCTGTTGGCCGACCCCAAATTCTGCTGGCCGGCGCCCCATTTCTGTCCAACTTTTGCTGGGGTGCCCCTGTCCTGCAGAGGGCACTTCTCTTTTGCTGGAGACGCCTCTTCTGGGGGCGCCCTTCCACTGCCGGAGACGTCTCTCTTCTGCCAGCGGCATCCATTTTCTTCTTATGGGGCTCCTCTTTTTTTGCTGGGGCGCCCCTCTTTTGTTCGGAGTGGGGCACCCCTCTCCTTTTTCTGGGGCACCGCTCCTCTGCTGAGGCTGCCCTTCTGCTGTCAGGGGCGCCCCTCTTGTGCAGAATATGCTCCTTTTCTTCTTGTAATGAGGCACCCCTCCTCTACTGGGGGCGCCCAACGACTGCTGCCTGTTGGGGCGCCCATCTGCTGCCGGGGCAACTCTCTTCTGCCGGATATTGTCAATGGGGCGCCCTTATCATGCTTAGCGAGCCAAACCTCTACCGGAGACTCCCTTTTGCTGTGGCGCCTCTCTTCTGTTGGGCGCCCCTCTTCTGCTGGGGGCGCCCCTTTCCTGCTGGAGACCCTTGTCTTCTCCTGGCCCCTTCCGTTGCCTGGGGCGCCCCTCTTCTGCCAGTGGCACCCATTTTCTTCTTATGGGGCTCCTTTTTTGCTGGGACGCCCATCTGCTGTCAGGGCGCCCCTCGTCTTCTCGGAATGGGGCGCCTCTCTCCGTTTGCTGGGGCGTCGCTCCTCTTCGGGGGTGCTTTCACCTGCTGGAGTGCCCTTCCGCTGCCAGGGGCGCCCTCTTGAACAGAAGGTATCTTTTTATTTTTGTAATAAGACGCCCCTCTCCTGCTGGGGAGCGCCCATCGCTGGGAATGGGCAATTGGGCGTCGCTCTCCTGCTTGGTGAGTCCAACTTCTGCTGGAGGCGCCCTATTTCTCCCCAACCTTTGCTGTGTCGCCGCTCTTCTGCTCGGGGCGCCCTCTCTGCCGCGGGCTATGGGCGCCTTTTTTGATGAAGGGGGTGGGGGGCGGCCGCCCCCGCCGCCCCCCGTTGGATCCAGCTAATTGTTGTTGCTGCCAGCAACAACAGTTAGCTGCACTTTGACTGCGTATGACGACGCAGCTGTCTGGTTTTGCATCACCTTGCCCTGCATCCATACCAGTTAGGTACGCATGCAGCTATTTTTGAATTATCTCGACCTTTGCATTGTATTGTATAAAGCACTTTGCATGAATATCCGTCGACACAAATACGTTCTTCTTGGCGATTCGGCAGATAACCGGCTACCAACATATTTTATAATTAATTTTAATTATTAAAATCTGCTAGCTCTTTGTTGTTTGAATATATTGTTTTATATCTCCCCAAATGTGAATATAAAAACATACACATGCCTTTCCTGTCGAAGTTATCTACAGACGCCAGTGCGGCAAAAGAAACCAGCCAGAAATGTTGAACCTTGCTCTACTTTTTTACGCTTCGTTCCGATGCTTAAACTGCGGCGCAAACGTATCCAGAACGGCGGCTCTCTTTCCCGGTGCCTACTGCTGCATCAAACGGCATACGTTTCGGGTCGGTTTTGTCACGTTCTGACCGCGTTTGGTGAGGTTTACGTTTCGGATTTGGAAAGTGGAGCACCGGGCCTAACAGGGTAGACAGGATGGCAGAATTGATGGTGCTGAGATGTTAGGCTCTAAGGGCCGTTACAGTCCGGGGCGGGCCACTCACACTGATATTTTTACGTTATATCTATTGATGACTCTCCTCGTGTTCTGCGCTCGCTCGCAATTATGTACTTGCATTTATTCGTCCTATCTTATTCCTTTGCTAACTGGTTTACTTCTTCTGATACTGAATGGTCTGTGACATGAGGGCGTGGTATTCTAGCCCTTGAGTTCAACAGTCCATTTGTATTATACCACGTAGTCAGACTACGTATGCCTACGCCGGCAATCGCCTCGGCTGCCGCGTTCTCGCTGCTTGGCACTCATTCGCTTCTCTTGTCTGACCGCAGGGGATGGCGCACCCGACTGACTGGGACGTGGAGCAGTACCGCAACGAGCATGAGCCGCCAGAGCACTGGCGCCTCTGCCGCGCCTTCATCCTAGCGCACAAGTCCGACTACCCCGAAGCGCGGCTCGTCTGCCTTGCGCAGTGTTTCGCCAATATGGAGTTTCTCGGCTGTCGCTACCCGGACGAGACTATGCAGCTGGTCCGAGAGCTATCCGCCGGCATCGCGGACGACTACCGCCGCGAGAAGCAGAAAAAGATCCAGAGGACGTTCGTGCGCGCGTCTGACGCGGCTGAGGCAAAGGTGGCGCGGAAGCGAATCTCTTATGACACGGACGGGGGCCCTTCAGCTAAGTCATACCGCCTGTGTGATGACAAGCCAGTAGGTAATTCTGCTGCTTTCATCCTCGTCGAGTACGGTGATGTCTCGGTGGACGCCAATCCTGTGAACAGACTGATGTGTTCGTCTGGGTTCTGTAAGGTGCCGGTGAAATTCGATATGGTCGGGGATGTGTGCGAGTGTCGCGTAGGCGGAGACCACGTCGGTACTGGCCGACGCCCCGAGGGTACTAGCAACAGTGCCAAGGGCAGCGGGGCCAAAACAGCCAAAACTTTGGCCGCGGCGGAGGCGCTTGCAACTCTGCAGGGACAGTGTTACACGATCCGGCTCAAGACAAAAATCCTGGCGGAGGAGGACGTTGCCCGGGGGGAGCTAGTGGCAGCGGAGGGCGAAGCGGCGCAAAAGGTGGCAGACGGAGTGGGCGGCAAACTGTTGGCCATGATGGGCTGGACAGGGGGCGGTCTCGGAAAACAGAAGCAGGGTATCACTGAACCAGTCCGGTTGGAAGAAGTTGTTGGTCGCCAAGGACTTGGATCGGAGAAGCGCACAGTTACCAGGGAGTTCAAGGATAAAACGGAGCTGCGACTGCGTGCGTATGCATCCAAATTTCAAGAACGCGACCTGTCTTTTAGCAATGAGTTTAGCAACGAAGAGCGAAAAGAGATCCACAGTATAGCTCATCGCTTCGGTCTGAAGAGCAAGAGCTATGGCAAGGGCGAGGAGCGGTTTCTGGTAGTGTCCCACAAGTTCAACCCCTACCATCTGCTACAATACCTGCTGGCCACCGGCGGGCAGACCGACAAGTATGAGCTCATCCCGCCAAAGACTGAGCAGTCTTCAAGAGAGGATTCTTCGACAGCCGAGAAGGTCAGCTCAGTAATCTGTCTGACTTGATGGCACAAAAGTGTTATTCGCTGTTACCTCGGGCGCACTCTTCCCAGGCGAAGATTCGTATGCACAATGGTTCGTAAGCAAAGTTTCGTATGCCATGGACCTTATCTGATAATGAATTTCGTGTGGGAGAAGGCTTGCAAAGGCTGAAGTTCTTGGCGTAGAAGGTTTGTGTAGGAAAACCTTGATCATGGTCACAAATCTAACCAGTCTGAAACATCGTTCCAGCTTCGTGTGGCATATCGGTCCTGCAGACGTTCTTGAGATGCAAAAACAAGCGTACGTACTAGCGCAAAGTGAAATACCATTCCATACAAATCATATCCGATTTGAAACATTTCAGAAACGAGCTTCAAAGTACGAAGCTTTTTCCTACGAACGGTAGGTATCCCTTATGAACGTTAAACATCAATACATAAACCGTTTCCATTACGAACTTGAGCCGTTACCAAACTTACCCGTACGAATCTTATGAGCATTTTACTGTACGAACGTCTTTCGGCGCCAGCCTTTCCATATTCTTTTTTTCATGCGAACTGCCCCTTCTAAATCATAGACATACGAACCTTATCCGATCAAATCTTATCCACTGCGAGCTTGGCGGCACGAACCTTATTTCATGACTCATGCGGACCTTTTCCGATACGAACTTTTGTTTACCAGCCTACTAAACTTTTGCTTACACAAACCTTCGTCCGCGTCCCCAAATATACACACAAATTTGGTGAATTGGTGTATCTTGGATAGATATGTTCAAGATATGTCAAAGATGCAATGGTGACCATTGTATTGCTTTATGCGTGTTGAAGTGGAGAGAACGTGGAAATTGTTCATGATGTTAGTTAGTACCTAATTTTGTTTCTGTTCTGATATGAGATTTTCCTAAATTGAATTTCTTTGTGGCCAAATCAAGGTCAATGACATGTAAGTAGCATATTAGTTTTGGGGGAAGGTTGCTAGAAATAAGAATGTTATCTGATTCGTTTAAATGCCTTTTCAAGACCTTTAGGGATGAACTTTCATTCGTATTCCAGTAAAAGAGGAGGTGACGGGGAAGACGATAGCTGTCTGAATGAAGGAAAAGATCCCAAGTGCTACATTTTTTTAACGAGCTTGTCTATTGCATCACACTATCTAGCTGCTTCTTTCAATACATCATGTCAAGGACTTGCTATCATGTTTGCCATAGTCGTTTGCAAGGATGCGACATAACCCGACTGTCAGCGAAGCGATTTCGCGTGCTATCGCCTAATTCGCCTTGCTTGCTCACGATTGCCGGCCTTTCTGGTCACAGGAGATGGCGGACCTGACTGACCGACCTTGCCCTGAGCGGCTGCCACCGGTGCAGGCGCCTCAGCGGCACGCCTCTCCGATAACCGAGGATCAGGGTGCTGATACCTTGGAAGCGCAAACTCCACTGTACCAGAAGGCGACTGCCAGCCATGGAGCATCAGCAACATCGTCGACTCAGCTTAACAAGCCAGCGCACGATTCTTTCATAGTGGTGGAATGTAACAAGCCATGTTTCGACGACGATCCTATCAACAGGCTGTTATGCTCTTCTGGCTTTAGCAGAGTTCCGGTCAAGTATCGAATGGTTGGCGACATCTGCGAGTGTCGTGTCGGTGGCAGTCTTCTCGGCATCGGCAAACGCGCCGACTGCTCCGCCGGAAGCAAAAGTGCTGTCAATATGGCTGCGAAACAGATAGCGGCAACAGAGGCACTGTCTGTGCTACAGAAAAGCTGCTACACGATCCGGTTCAAAACTGGAGTTCTGAGTGATGAGGACTTCGATCAACTGAAGCTGTCATCAGTGAAGTGCTTTAATGAGCAAATAGTCGATGATATAGGCTGCAGGCTTCTGAAGATTGTGGGCTGGACGAAAGGCGGGCTTGCCAAAGAAAACAGGGCAGTCACTGACCCCATTCAGCCAGAAGAGATTGTTGTGGAAAAGGAATCACGTTCAGATGAGTGCTCCTTGACTGAGGAGTTGAAAGAGAACGTAGAACAGCTTTTGCGTAACTACGACCGGAAGTTCCAAGAGTCTGATGTGTCCTTTAGCAATGAATTGAGCGCTGAACAACGCGAGCAGATACACCAACTAGCGCAAAGTCTTGGTCTCAAGAGCAAAAGTCACGGCAAAGGTGACGATCGGTTTGTTGTGGTGTCGCAGCAGTTCAAGGTGCAGTATCTGCTACAGTACCTCATGGCTCGCGGTCTAGAGACTGATGTTTATGAGCTCATCCCGCCTAAGGTCGAGATGGTGCAACAAGAAATGTCTTCAGCAACTGACCATGGTGGCCTCGAAGATTCCAAGGCAAAGCCGCGCAGTTTGGGCGAGAGCAGGCCGACGGGCAAGCCAGTATCTTTTATTTTGGTAGAGAGTGGCGAGGCTTGCTTCGATAGCAATCCGGTCAACCGGCTGCTTTGTTCTTCTGGGTTCTGCAAAGTAGACGTAGAATTCAGAATGATAGGCAGCACTTACGAGTGTCGGGTCGGTGGGGAACTGCTCGGCTCGGCGAAATGTGTTGACGGCTCCACCAAGAAGAAAAGCGCTGTTGCCAGGGCTGCCAAAAAGGTGGCGGCGACTGAGGCGCTAGCGGTGCTTAAGAGTCGCTGCCACACGATCCGGTTCAAAGCTGGAGCTCTCGACGACGGCGATGTGCGTCGACTAATGCTAAGAATGGACATGTGCGGAGATGCGGTTGCGCCGCTTCGGGTTGGCACCAAACTGCTCAGGCTACTAGGATGGACGAAAAATGGACTTTTGAAACAGAAGCGGGCTTTCAAAAAGCCTATTCAACTAGAAGATGTCTGTCGGCAGACCGATTGTTCCGACAACAGCAGCATCACTGGAGAGTTCAGAGAAAACGTGGAGCACCTTCTTCGCGAGCACGCATCCAAGTATGATGAGTGTGATCTTGCCTTCAGTAGCGACTTCGTTGGCGACTTTCGTCAAGAAATACACGCGCTAGCAGTGCATTTCGGTATGAAGAGCGAGATTCTTCGGAGCAGTGAAGGGCAGCTGTTGCTGGTTTCGAAGACATTGAGCGCCGACTATCTGCTGCAGTACCTGCTTTCCAACGACGAACGGAATGACCAGTTTGAGGTCTTGCCTCCAGGGGCGATAGAACCTCAGCTTCACAGCTCAATGGTGGTTGAGCAGCGTGACGTGAACACACTTGGTGCGACAGTCACATTGGACTGCGACGGACGCTCGACAAACGGAGAAACGGAGTTGAGTGCTGTAAGCAAGAATAAGTCGATTGATGACTTCGTCCTTGTCGACTACGAGGACGAACTACTAAATCCTTTGGACAAGCTGAAGCGCTCATCTCTCTTCTGCAAAGTCCCGGTAAAGTTCAGGAAGGTTGGTGATGCTTGCAAGTGTTCAGTCGGTGGAAGTGTGGCGGGCACCGGGAAAACTGTCAACAAAGGAAAGGGTGGGAAAAGAGGAGGTCGCGACAAAGCTGCTGAGAAGGCGGCAGCTAGTGAAGCACTCGGGATGCTGCAACGGCGCTGTCACACGGTCCGGTTCAGAGCAAAGACTGTACCGGATGAAGAAGTGACTCGACACCAATTGATGGTGCAGGGCGCGGCAGCCGCTGCGTCAAATGTAGCCGACGGCGTGGGCGGCAAGCTGTTGGCTATGATGGGCTGGACGGGGGGCGGTCTCGGCAAACACCAGCAGGGCATTACCGAGCCCATCCTACCAGCTGCGACGCTGGGTCGCCAAGGTCTTGGGTCAGCGAACGGGGTTTTCAAGGTGAAAACTAGACAATACCTGCAGGCGTACGCGTCCCAGTTTCAGGAGCATGGTCTGAAGTTTGGCGCAGAGTTTACCGCTGGCGAGTGTTCCGCAATCCAGGCACAGGCGCAGCGCCTGTGTTTGAAGGTGAAGAGCTTTTCCAGAGACGGAAAACAATATGTACTGGTGTCGCATAAGGTGGAGGCGCACCAGCTACTGCAATACCTGATGAGGAACGGCGGACAAACGGATAAGTACGAGCTGCTGCCGCCCCACTGTAGTGTTTAGCGTCGCTACGCTAGCGATTCGAGGTGACAAGGGGTCCACTTTGACTACAAGAGCCCAACTAGAGCCTGACGGCATATTGTCAGTCAGCGGTATTGTCCTTGCAGCTGTAGAAGGTCTAGGCGAAATCGTCAGGTTGTTCGTTATAACATAGGCATCAATCCTGTAATGTTGTCTTTTTCTGGCACAACATATTGGCATGCAGTTGACCCATGTCAAGTGTGCCAGAACGATCGAAGATCTCGGCTGCTTCAGTTTTGTTCCAGTTGCCGTGCTGCTGATGGTCAGTCGTTATCTATTTGAAAGTATCAGAGTGTGAATACACTTATCTTTTGTATAAATGTCATTTTTGCTTGAGTGAGTAGCGGAGACCCGGGAGGTATGGGCTGGTTTTGTGAAAAGGCAATTTTCTTCCAGTGGGCAGCGGCCAGACCTGGTTTTTCACTCTGTGTACGTGAAATTGCCTCTGGCCTGTAAAGTATGCCTGCTATTAGGCAGCTGGGATCAACTATTTTGTCTCGAGATAACTTTAACCCGGCAGGCAGTGGGCCTCCCGGCCACCTTCCGCGCGGTGGGGGGGGGGGGGGGCATTTGCACATCCTGAAAGTTTGAAGGAAGTCATTCCAAAACTGCGAGTTGGACAGGTGCATAAAGAAAATTGAAATTTGACCATGACCTTGTACTGGTTTTTCTGACCTGGTGACCTGACCCAAGGTCCCCGGACCTGAAATTTTCAGGTCATATGTAAAAAGGTTGCCCCATAGGCTGTGCCAAATTTGGCGGCGCTGCGCGCCGCCGTTTTTACGCTATCTTTGAAAAGCCTTAGGGGGGGGGGTTGCATAAACCCCCCCGGCCAGTGCGAGGGTTAACAGTCTTTCGTCGATTAACGGAAATTTCTGAATATGAGCGGCCGGCCGTGCGGACGGACGCTTTTGCGAGACTTTATATCTCAGCAACCATTTGACCGATTTACATGCGATAGGTAATTCTTGTGGGGTAGCTTCATTCGTTCTAGAGGTGGCAAAATTGATGGCAAAATATGAAAATTTTGGAAACCAGACTGGAACCAGACCCGGCTGGACATTTCTGGAACCAGCCGGACCCGTTCTTAGTTGGAATCGGAACCAGTTGGACCCGTTCCCCAAAAGTCATACAAACTACTTGTAGATGTCATTAGTTGCATCATGTAAAACAGCCTATTTCCACTGGGAATACTCATGAGCTACTGTGTGCATGAAGAAACATTCACTTCATTCACTTCATATTTTGCAATAATGTGTAGTGTGCAAGATGTGGGTACCTACCTACCTATAGTTTATGGTAGGACCCGTTTGGACCCGTCAGAAAATTTTCAGGAACCGGTCTGCATAGACCCGGGAACAGGGGGGGCAGCGGGGGCGCTTGCCCCCCCAACTTGAGAGCTGAGGGGGCGGCGCCCAACATTGAGGCAGCGAGAAAGGATCTTTCCTCCCTTTTGCGGACTTCTTTCCTTCTTGTTTGCTTTATACATCTAAACATTAACACACGGCATTAAGTCCTTGCCATCTGAATTGTTTCTGCTGATACAGTACCGACTATCGATTTGACAACATATCGATATTGTCATCCCTCCATGGTCATCCCGCTTTGGTTTGGGTCTGACCTTGGCCATAAGTTTGGCAGGCCAGATTTTATACTGGACCATTTTGGGTCAACTTTGAGAAATATTTAACGTACAACGGTGGTAAAATCATTGCTATATGTAATGTAGGTATGTATAACACAGTTTACCCGCTCTGGATGTGAGGAAGGGGTGTGGGGCAATGGGTGCACTGACGTGGCGCCCTCGGAATGCCGGTATGGGAATAAAAAAGCTCAGCGACACTAAGGGTGGTGTCGTCGGTTATCAGTAGCACCCTCAGAATCACCGGCGTAGGGCCCTCAGAGCCGCCGGTAAGGGGCCTTTAGAGGCACTGGTGTGGGGCCGTCATGCAGGTGCCCGTGTGGGGCCTCAGAGCCGAGGTGCTAGTGTGATTCTCTCAGAGGCGCCGGTGAGGGTCCTTACAGGCATTGCTGTGGGCCCTCATAGACGCTTCACGCTGGTATGGAGCCGTTACAGACGGGTGTGGGGCCTTTACATAGAGCTGCTAACGCAAACCCTCTACAGGCCGGCAGGGGGCTCTCAGTGACCGGCAAGGGGCCCTCAGGCCGGCAGAAGAAGTCCTGTGGGGTCCTTAGAGACCAGAATGGTACTGTCAGTCTGACTGTGTCAGACGCCAGTGGGGCCCTCAGAGTCACTGGTGTGGGGTCCTCAAAAGTCATCCGTGGGTGACCTTTAGATGCGCAGGTGTTAGCCGTTGGGTTCTCAGAGCCGCCGATATAGGGCTTTAATAGGCAGTGGTGTAGGCACTCAGAGTTGAGGGTGTGAAACCCTCAGAGACACCGGTGTGGGCCCTCATAGGCGCCGATGAGGGTCCCCACAGTTACCGTTATGGGGCCCTCAGAAAAATAAGTGTGGGACCATCACAGGCGAGACATGCCCCTAGAACTGGCCCCTCATAGGCTGGTAAGAACTCTCAGAGGCCAGTAACGGTCCTTTGGAGACCACCGATGGGCCCTTAAAAGCCGCAAGAGGCCCTCAGAAGCCGGCGTGGGGCCCTTATGGAGATCTTAGTGTGATTATTTAGGGCTCATGAGGTGCTCTAACGAGCTCCATGGGGCCCTTCTGAGTCGAAATATGGCCACAGGGCCCCTCGGACCCGAGAGTCCCTTTGAACCCGATGGGAGGGGGGGGGGGGGGTGTACGGGGGTACGTATCCCGTTAGGCCCCTAGCTACGCCACTGTTTCATATGCATCATGTCAGGTATTTTGGGCTCGCCCCCCCCAACTTGAAAATCGTTCCCGGGCCCCTGCCGGTCTGGATCCATATGGGTCCAGACTGGTTCTTTGGACCGGGTACTCGGGTCCACATTTTGCCACCTCTAAATTTCGTTCTACCAGGTATTATCCCGATGCATATGAGTGACCCCTTTTGCGCGCGCCACGTGCAAAACGAAGAGGTGTCAGTTGTGTAACAATGGCAATATCTCTGTAACTACTGGGGCGATTGCGCTGAAAGTTAGCTTGTAGGTAGGCAGTAGGCACCCACTAGGCAGCTAGGCAATCCATGTGCCAGAGTTTGGATGCTGCTGCACGTGCGCACGTGCAGGGGTCGATTCCAGATCTCGAGAACGGCTGAACCGATTGCGCTGAAATTTGGTAGGGTAGCCTGGGGCAAGACGCTCCAGATAATTTATTTTGCTACATTACTTTTGTCCCACATCACCTGGAAGGCCGAATTTGCGCTCAATGCGTTCTTTGGACATTTTACTTCAAATTCCACCCCTCAAATTCATTCACTTATGATCGGACTCCTAGCTAGGAAGTGATTTGTGAAGCAACTGCAAATGGGGCATTTTCCCCCAACCCCAGGGCAAAACGCCCCACGGCCTGGGGCAAGAAGCCCCATACTCTAGATTAAAGATTGAACATGCTAGTTGACTTAAATCTTATATGAGAGGTCTGTTAGACCTTGGGAAGCACGGCACTGAAGTTAGCTCCTTCCATCCTATCAGATGTTCAGCTATGACACTATTGTATGAGCAGGTTTTTCACCTGCCTCATAAGGCCAAATAATAAATTATTGCAATGGAAATGTTAACAAAATACTTCCTTTGCCATCCAGTTGCTGAGAAAAGTACATATAAATGCATAGAAACTTACTGTTAGCCAGCTACCGAATATTAGGAAGTGGGTAGTCCGAACAACACATGAGGTAAAACGCCCCATGGGGCGTTTTGCCCCGCGACGTACTGGGGCGTTTTACCCCCATCACGTAGTTCGGTCAGAGAACAACGCCTTGCACTCCAGCAAGGCATAATTTAACACGAACCAACCCGGCATTATAAGCGTTAGATAAAGTTGTTCAAAATACATAAAAGTCGTTAACCTGATGTGGACTATAAAAGAACGCCATGATACATAAGCTGACAACAAAACATAAAAATCACTCCAAAAACACATTTTTGGCTATATCTCCCTAAAGAGTCATCACAATTACTTTCCAGTCTGCTCATATAATGATCATATAGTGCACGTTTTATAGAAGAGATGATGTTTCTCCAGAACCTTGCCAGTTCCGAGAAACATCGGTGAGGCGTTTTACCTCGGCGGGGCGACTTGCCCCGGTCTACCCTACATGGTTGGGAGCCAGCTAGTAGGGTGCCGTGCAAAAGTCATTGGGGCCCATTTTGCGCGTGCGCACGTGCAGGCTGCTGCTTCCAGGTCTTGAGAACGGCTAGGGTGATTACGCTCAAATTTGGTACATTGCTTGAAGCATTTCCCCTCCGCCCATAACTGGCAGTTGTTGCGTTCGGACAGGCTGTTTTTCGCGCAGAATTTCCACGCCCAGGAATTTCCCGCCGAAACGGCCGTTCGGACGGCGCGAAACGCGTGCAATCCCGCGACTCGCGAGATCCCGCGAAACGATGAGGAATCCTGAGAGCGTGTCGCGCTCGTTTTTCAAGGTGGCGGCCGCCATGGAAGTGATAAGAAATTATGTTGTTTAATGTTAGGGGTTGTGATGTATTCGTTTTTATCTTTTTGAAACTTATTGGCATCTGTAATATGTTGTAAGCAATTGGTTGAGTGGCAAACATGTGCATTGATCCGAGAAAATGGATCTGGATCTGATCCCACGGATCCTGATATCGGATCCGACGGGATCATAGATCCAGCTCTGTAATTTTTCGAGAGATCGGTAGGGATCACAGATCCGAGTCATTTTTTGCTTGAGATCCAGTGAGATCATAGATCCTCAGTTATTTTTATTAACACATAGGTATATCCCAAAAAAGCACTTGTTTCAACTCACAAACGTTCTGTTTTAGTGATTTTATATGATCGCACGTCATAATCCATAGTTTTGTGTCACTTATTGGCAACGAAACCCTTTAAAACATGGTTTCAAATGTGGCGCATGGTGGGATCCACTCAGATCATAGATCCATGTTCTAACTTTTCGTCAGATCATTTGAGATCATAGATCCAAGAATGTATTTTTCACGCCGGATCCGGTGGGATCATAGATCCCAACCTGTAATTTGCTTCGAGATCCACTGAGGTCGTAGATCCATTAATCGGATCCATGCACATGTCTGTTGAGTGGTTTTAAATTGTTTTTGTTTACCTATGACATAATTGAAGACGCACAATGAAAAGCTTGTGTAGTTGTAAATGCAATAGTAAATTTAAAATGATAATTGGAGATAAAAAGGTATCTTTTCATTTTGAAAGTGTAAAAGCACAGTAGGGGAAAGTGGG